CTTTGATATTGAACTGAATCTGATTCTGTTTTAATGGTTTGTCATGAAACGTTTTGTTATTGAACTGAATTTGATTCTGTTTTAACGGTTTATCATTGAAAGTTTTGATTTCCGCATTAATGGTTTATCTGGCATGCTTCAAAGTTTTACCCAAGGGCTATCCATATTTACTTACTGAGTTATCTCATAGTTTTCCTTGTCCACCATTTCAGGAAGCGAAACTGAGGAACCGAGGGGAGTGACGAGATAGAAGGCTAGCCATCTTGTAAAGTGAATATAGATTTGAGATGTAGATCGTGATCTTAAGAGTGTATGTGGAGATTTTTGATATCAGAGCAGATTGTAAGGATTTTATCTTGAGATTTTTGTGGTATCAGATGTGAATTGGATAAGTTCCGAGCCTTGTGCACTTGTGGGACCCGTCTCACAAGTGTACGGCGTCTGCCACGTCCCTAGATTTGGGTTCTGGGGCGTGACAATTATGCTTGGTCGTACTAGTTGGGTATGCTACTTATTGGGCATGTGGAGCTCACATTGTTTTATTTAATGTTTTCAGATACTAGACATGGAGCATATGGGAGGCAGGGGAATTAGAGAGCCACCTTAGAAATAGACTATTTACTCATTTCCTATTATGTTTAGCATTTGTGGACATTTGAAATAAATAGATTTTAATTTAGTGCTAGTTATACTTCAGATTTTTGGTGTAGAATTGACTTTAGATGCTGGAGTATTATTATCATATATTTTTTTCTATTAATTTTCTTAAAAGTGAAGAATAAATTTTATGCAAAGCTACAGGGATGAATTTTAGAGACTGATTTAGCCTTACATGCTTTTGGGGTCACTCCTAAAGGTATGTGGCATTGTCATGTCCTAACTCCTAAGTTGGGGGCGTGACACTTAAATTGCACTTGCTAGTCTGTTTTAGTCTCCAATATAGTCATGTTCTACTTATGCCCATTAGTGGGGGGTTTATAAACGCTAGCAAATGTCGATATGTTACTTGTGCAACTGGTTCATTCTTGTTATACTTGTTATCCTGCTTGTGGGATTATATGCTAGCAAATGTTGTGCCCACCAGTGGGAGGTTTATAAACGCTGGCCATGACTTATAGAAGAGACGTCTATTTTATTTCTCGTACTTGTACCAGTTTTCTTGATACTTGGTCTTATACTTGTCGGCTTGCTTAATTTTAAATTTATAAATAAAAAAGGGAAGCCTAATATTCACTTATTGAGAGTAAATCTCACGTTTTCCTTGTCCACCATTTTAGGTAATGATACTAGAGACATTAGGGATCAGGGTGTGTGCCGGATACTTATTAGAGCTAGTTTGGACTTAGTTGAGACTGGATTTAATTCTTTTGGAATTATTACGAGGTTGAGGATTTAATTAGCAATTATTACATTATTTGACTTTGAAGGATTTATTTGAACATTACTTAAATTTCAATTAAAATAAGGGTATTAGCAGATCTTATTTAATTATATTCGGTTTTTAGATAGTAAGTTAACTTGGTTCTAAGCTTGGTGCACTTGTGGGTTCCACTCACAAGGGTACGGCATTTGTTCCGCTCTAGGTCTAGGGCGTGACAAGAATATTCATAATTTCATAAAGGTATTAACCTTTATTAAAAGAAAATATATGAAGGATTATAGAGTTCAAAAGACAAAACCAACGTATATATTAATATCTAAGGCCTATTTAATAATTATAAGAGCATTATATAAAAAATATAACCTTATGCAATAATTAGAAGGGCATTATACAAAAAATACAATTCTATTGCCTATTAACAAGGTCGAGAACTAGATACCCTTAGATTTGCAAGTCTTGTGGTTGTGTCAATGCCAACATCAAATTGAAACTCCAATCCTGTCATTCCATCTTCTTTTGGATCCTTAGTTGCATCTATTAATTCATGGTATCAAGAAATTAACTTAACATAGTACATATTAGAATATATATAAGTATAGTTACATTATATATATATGAAATAGAATAAAAATAAAGAATGTATATTACCTCCAATTAACCAACTCCGAGTTGTTATCAAAGCTTTTGCATTTTTAAGTGTTAAACTACCTCTCAATTTGGTTAAAACTTTATCACCTTTGCTGAAAGTGGATTTAGAAGCTATAGTAATAATAAGAATTGATAAGATATCCTTTGCCATGGCAACCAATGTTGGATATTAATATTCATTTTTTTCTCCACCAATCAACGATATCCAATGGTTTTGACTAGGACAATCTCCTCTCTTCCAAGTACTTATGTAACTTTGATCCATTTCTACTCAATCTACTCGGTTCAAATTCATTAAAATCCTACAAAATATGAAATAATAAATTTCAACAAAAGTCATCTTATTTTTCTCTCTACATTAAGTTTGCATTCCCTCATCCATTCTCGTCCATCCTTATGAAGAATCTCTTATAGCTAAAAAAAAAAAAACATATTTCACCATGAAAAAATAGCATAAGAAATTTTGAAGACATCATAATATGATATTCTTAAAGCCAAATAAACAAATTGATCAAATAGTCACTTTTCCAACAAAAATAAAGGGAAAAAAAATCAATAGTAAGGAAATATGAACTATATGGTAAAGAAAAATAAATAAAAGAGAAAAAAGATTGATATGCTCACCTCATTACAGATTAAAGGACTTTTGAAATTGACAGCACCATAAGAGAAAATTCTTATAGCTTCAAAAGTCTTGTCCTCTTTGGGTGAATATTCATTGTAAAGACTCTCCAAATGATTTTTGACATTCTCATACTTTGCCAAGTGTATTGTCTCATCCAATTTCATGTAACAATATTTTACATAATACAATTTGAAGTGAGGATCAAGAATTATAGCAAAAGCAAGCACCAAACTATAACAATCCCTATACTTATCAAATTTAATCTTCATATTTTTTGCTATTGCCCTCACACATGGATCATGACTTCCCATCTCTATTGTAAAGTCAATTCAATAGCCCAAACATGTTTGAAATACAAGTTTGCTACAGGATATTGAGAACCAAAAAAAAGAGTGGTTATCTGACTCAATGGTTGCAAAAGTTGACAAATATGCTCCACTCTAATCCATTCATCAAGTTCTAAGGACCAACATAGTTACTATCCTCCAATGCAAAGTTAATAAAGGCTTGTCGGTATAAAAGTGCCCTTTCTAGTATAGTGTGAGTAGAATTTCATCTAGTTGGTCAATCTAACCACAAGCCTTTACTTATATTACAGCCCACACACTTTGCACAATCCTGAAAACTTATCTTTCTTCCCTTAGATCTAGTTACATATTTGATACTCTCCCTCAATTTCTCAACACTCTCATCAATCACTTTTGGACCTTTTGGGACAATCAAATTTAACACAAGATCACAACAACGAATTTGGAAAAAATCCCAATTATGAGGTAATGAAAATTCCAAATTTAGGGTATTGCATAAAAGATCTTGCATATTGTCATTGCACCTTGCATTCTTTAAAGTAATAGAAGATAATTTATCTTGAATACCCCACGCTTTAAGCAAGTCAAAAACAATATTATGTAAAATCCAATTCTCATCTATGTAATGTGCAATGAGACAATGGTAACCATGAGTTACTGCTAAAGTCCACATATCACAAGTCAAACAAATTATGCCCTAAAGATTTTACAAACATTTCTTTATCCTATCTTTCTCCCTTTTGTGTATTTTTAAGTAATAATTCTTGACAGTATTCCTACAAATTTCTTTTGCTTTCACATTCAAGTATGCAAGAAGTTTTCTAACATGCTTGTGCTTAACCCAAGAAAAAGCATATGCATGGTGAATAACAATCAGTGCCTTCAACTCCTTATAGATTTCCAAATGTATCTTTTGTTTACCCAATTATCCATAATTGTCAATCAACATTTGTAAAGGATTACTAGAAGCATACCTTGAAGGACATTTCAAAAGATGCTCTTTCAAATTTTTTGTGCCATACGAAGATGGAGATATATAGGTACTACCATAATATTTGTATCTCTATCTTTTCCATCATTATAATTTTTAGCCAAAATGATGTCAAAGTCTTTCCAAACTTCTAAAGTTTTCCTTATCTTCAACTTAGGTTCAACAATAACTTCATATTCTATTTTAGAAAACATTAGACATGAAATTAAATTAGAAATTTGAAAATTATTACAAAGTAGACAAAAAAAAAAAAAAAAAAAA